TTCCTGGCCCTGATCCCTCTTGGGGATCCTGGAGGGGCTCCCTGCCCACAGAGAGACCACACTGCCCCCCTGCCAGGGCTGTCCTCTGGAAAATTCCTGGCCAGCTGAGTACCAAGCTGTGAAGCAGAGAGGAGCCCAGACAGAAGGGAAGCCACTGTGGCCTGCCACACAGGAAGAGAACCCCCGCTGGTCAGCAGCATGAGGGCTGGGTGGTAGGGCAACACCTTGAATAAAAGGAGTCACTGATGTGAGGTCTCAGAAACCAACTACCCTGTTCCCCAGCCTCATGGTGAGTGGGGCTGAGTCATTGATGTCAGTTGAAAGGCAGCTTGGCCTACTGGCTAGGGAGGCAGGGCTCCTGGGATCTGTCCCTGGCTCTGCCACTGACCTTGGGCAGGACCTTCTCTGCTCAGTGCCTCAGTTTCCCCTCCCACTCTTTGTTTGGATTGACAGCCCTTCAGGGCTGGGACTATCTTTGGGTCAGTGCTGAGCCTACCCCACAGGGGTCCTGAGCTCAGCTGGGGTCTTTAGCCATGCCCATGATACTAGTAATAATGCACACCCCAGTGTTGGGCCTTCATCACGGGCGGGATTCCCAGCTACCTCTATGAATAGCAGCTTCCCCCTGCAAATCAGGCCTGGGGGTAAGCAGTCTCCAGTGGAAAACACCGAATGAATGGCCTCTTTTGCGATGCATTCCTTGCACGCTGCCGGGCTCATGTCTCAAGCCACTGTCTGCAAAATGCTAGTGACCAGCACTGGCATGTTCCAGGCTGGGGCAGGAGAGTGAGCATCCCTGTGTCCCTCTGACAGTGCATGCAGATCTCTGTATGTAGTGCGCTCCCATGCAGGCAGACACAACCACACCATATGCAATCAAAGCACAGGCACACTGCCACTAGCTGTACCCTGGCAAAAGCATACAACGGTCATGGGAGCACACACACGGTCATCACCACTACATGCATGCACACACAAACACATGTGCACACACAAAAATCATCTTTCACACATGACCATGACATGCATGCCCCACATGCACAAACCTGTCAGCAACTACCACAAACAAGCCCTGTGCACATGTGCACACACATGCACATGTGCTTAGACATGACCACCCCATGCAAATAAGCTCACAAGCACCATATCCTCCTCACCCCAGCCATGATCACCACACACACACACACACACAGTTGCACCCACACTCATACACCCACGACAGCTTTCCCTGACAACTTGAAATGCATCAGCTCCCTGCAGGATTTTAGCTCAATGATAAAGTGCTTGAAATTCTTAAGGCAGGTGCTGTTGGGCAGAGTCAGCCTCCCCCACCACCTGCGCTTTAGCCCTCATGGCCCATCCTGGGAATTCCCTCCCCGTCGAATTTGTTGTTACTCCCCCACAGGCCCAGGCCCGGAGAAGGACGTCGAAATTGCTGCTCCCTGAGGCAGGGAGAGAACTGTAGGCCAGGGACTCTGGGGGTTTTGCCGCATGCCAACCCCAGGGGTAGGGGCTGCCTTTGTGCTCGCAGCAGCCCCTCTCAGAGTATCTCCTTGGATCTCAGCCCTAGAGCTTAACCCCCTCCCTCCCTGTTCAGACAAGGGGGAATGAGCCTGTAGTAAGCCAAGAACAGCAGTTGGAAATTGCCTGCGGCTCTGTTTGTGTATGTGCGCTTGTGTGCATATGCACATTTAGGTGTATCCATGGTGCATGCACATATATGTGAGTGCCTGTGTCCAGGTGTCTGTGCATGAGTATCCATGTGAACATGTGTGTGTGTAACCGCCACTAGGCAGATTTGAACCTGGGATCTCTGGAGCTTAGTGTAGGATCCTGTACCCTTTGAGCTAAAAGCTTAGGCTGTAGAGCTCCCTTGTTCTTATCTGTTGCTATAAGTGGTCTAAGTGCCACTACATGGGACAGTGAACCACACTAGGTATGTGGGTTACATGTGCACACACACATTTAGGTGTATACATTATGTGCATGTGCATTTGTGTCTGTGCGTGTGTGCAGGCACGTGACTCTGTGTGCACACATTTCTGTGCTGTGACCCCTTTGGACCGAAGCGACTAGCCGAGGCTTTGGGGTGTGGTACGTTGGTCCAGCTGAGAGGGGAAGTTGCCACTGGAGTCGGGTCTATGGACGTGTCTCGTTCGTTCACTCAGAATGTACCAAGCCCTGTTTTCCTGAGCCCAGAGGAATCACAGGAAGAGGAAACAGTGTCCGTGTTCCTGGGTCGAAGCTTCACTCAGCCCTGCCTGGGGCCTCTCTGTAGGATTCTCCTAGGGCAGCACTGGGCTTCCAGATGGCTGCTTGCTCTACATCAGGTCTCCATCCTCATGGTCTCTCTGGTTCTGCCTGGGCTTATCTCAGTTGCATATACTACCCCCTGCCTCCAGCCAGACAGCACTCGGAGGCCGTCGCTTTGTCCACCTGCTGTGAGAGAGGGGTGGCAGCCGCCACAAGGCCTTGTTCTCCTTTACTGTCTCTCACAGCATCCATCAATTTTAATGATATTCTAACCCGCTCCTGGCCGCAGCGGCTGGGCATGCACATGGGGGACTCAGCTCTCCCTGCTCTCTGGGAGGGACCTGGCTTTTACACGACTCCCAGGAGCCCCTCACTGGGTGTCCTTCCTGGGTCACAGCCTTAAGCCCATGACTAACAACTACCCCAGCTCCACCATTGGCCAATTCAGCCTCTGTCAGTGTTGCGTCGCATTTCTTGACCTGGCCACTTGCCGCCCAGTACTTTAGTAGATGAGTAATGCTTCTGAGATGTAAGTCTTCTGCTGGACCTTGTTCCCTTGCTCACTTCCTCCAAGTCCTCAGCTTCCCACCTGACTCTGCTTTGAATGCTGGTCAAAGATTTACTTGGTCCGAAGGCCAGGCTACCATAGGGCAGAGCAGATAGATTGATTGCTGTATGTGCCAGGGGCTCTGGAAAAGCAGACTACCCAGGTAGTCAGGAAGGTTTCCCCATGGCCTCCACGGCCTCTGGAGTCCATCTGGAGAAGGAGCAAGGCATGGGCTTCTTCCAAACCCTCCTTGTCACCCTGGTCTCCCTCCCACTCCTCATGGCAGCCTCTCATAACTTCCTGCAGAACTTCACAGCTGCTGTTCCCAGGCACTGGTGCCACATCCCAGCGGGAGCCAATGACACTACGGAGGTGACTGGAGATCTGCTGAAGTTCTACATTCCTATGGACAGCAACCAGGAGCCAGAGAGGTGCTTGCAGTTCAGCACCCCACAGTGGCAGCTCCTGGCCCCCAATAGCACCAACACCACTGAGTCCTGCCTGGATGGCTGGGCATATGACAAGAGCATCTTCAGCTCTACCATCATCACTGAGGTACAGAGGGGAGTGTGAGGGATTGTTCCAGGGGAGCGGGCACTTGGATCTGTGGCAACATCATGGGCTGGTTATCTCTCCTTCCACCTACCCACCCATCTGTGTCCCCATCCACCCCCCTCTCACGCACCCGTCCCTCTCGGGTTTGTGCTGTCACCCATAGTGTCTGAGACTGTTTCATGCATCAGACTGGCACAACAAGGTGCCTACTAGACTACATGGTGTGTCTGTCTCTCCTTTCTCTTGGGGACATACAAGCCATGCTTGATATAGGGGACTGTTAGATCAGTTTGGTGGCAAAGCTTTGTCTAACAAGCTCAAACTGTGGCTTAGCTTCATGTCCTGGAAGTCCTCCACTCTGCTTAAGGCACTTGGCTGGCCATGCCTTATATTGATGACAGATAGCTTGGGCTTTGTGGTTGCTGTGTCCCTGTAGAGCTACTTGGAGGAGATGTCTCTGCTGTAGCTATGATCTGATCCATGGCTGATCCATCATTTGGACCAAGGCTGTGACCTGGCAGGGCTTGGAGCAAAGGGTGGGTGCTCACAGACTGGTGGTCCAGGGACCTCAGCTCTGTCCTGACATACTAGAAGGAGCCCTTGCATTGACTGCACAGTCAGTGCCAGCCAGGGGGTGACATGGAGTAGCGTGTCCAAGCCAACTGGAGGTGGGAGGAGCTAGCATGGAGGCTGCCTTGTTGGCCAAGCACCATGGTGACCTGCAATGCCCCTTCACAGATTTCATCACCTGAGCAATCACCCATGTGGTTAAGTAGTTGGCTGGAGACCTTGAAGGAGTGCCCAGCTTCTCTGGGGAG